ATGCAGTGCACCGGTCCCTGGTAGGCTGGCTGCTCCCCAAGAGCTGCTGCCCTGGACTTCACACTGAGGTTGGCTACAGAGACAGGGAGAGAAGATGGCATGTGACCCCGGGGTGAGAAACTGGCCATCCCTGGTACTGGAGCCAGTGCAGCCCATGACAGTTCTACTCACGTGGCCCTTGGGGTTTTACCAAACCTTCTGGCCTTCTTGGCAGCTTACAAAAGAATTTGGAAAACCCAATAAGGAGCCCTGCCAACCTGCGCAGTTGGATTGGAGACAATTCCAGGCAGGTGATAAAGTGCAGGCTGCCTTAGGATTCCCAGGGCCTTCTGGTCAACTCTCATTGTGTCTTTCTAAGCAGATGTGACTGCAGAGTGCCTAGGATCAATGACAAGTAGACACACCAAGCTCTCTCTTGAAGCAGAGCCTAGAGAATCTAATGTGCTGTATGTTTCTCTCTCTCTCTCTCTCTCTCCCTCTCTCTCTCTCTCTGTTGTGTGTGTGTGTGTGTCTGTGTATGCATGCATGTCCGATGCCCAATGTAGCACCAAAGTAAATGAGATTTGGAGCCAGTGTCCCGTCTGCAAATCCTAGCTCCACCACGTACAAACTTTTGATCTGGACAGGTCAGCATTTTCAGCCTGTTTCCTTATCTTTAAAACAGGGACAGGCTGTTGTGAGTTAAATGAGATAAACATGTAAAGTGCTGGGCCTGGTGGTTAGCATATTGTCGGCTCCATAAGTGTCCAGAGATTGTGATACTGACAGCCAGGCGTCTGGTGTGATCAGTTGCAGGACCCCTTGGCTGCAGGGCTGGGCATGTTCACTCTGACTCACTCAGCTCTGGCCAGGCTGTGTCCTTAAACAGTTTAGGGCAACACTGGAGCCCTTGGGCCTTCAAAGTCCATGGCTCCAATGTAGTGGCTCCTTTTTGGCCTCTGTGCTGGCAGGTGGTGGCTTATGCTGCTGGCTTCTTCTAAGGTTTATAGAGCCAGCAGAAAAATTTTTCCTTCCTACTTAGTCCTCAGGGTCACTTCTTACCTGCCTCCCTGAGGTTCATCTTGTTCCCTGCTTCAAACCTTTTAGCACAGCTTTGGCTCATGCCCAGGAGACACTTCCAGTCCTGAGAAGACAGAGTGACCTTTCTCAAGAAACTAACACAACATGAATGAAGTCTGCCCATGATCTGCCCATGATCATGACACTACTTTGCTACCTGGGTTTAATTCCCTGCATACCATGTTCCAATCTGGTTTCGTATATGCCTCAGGATCAAACACTCGGCTTCATGACTCCACAGTCCCCACTGCAGATTTGGGGTTAAAGGACCACCTGGATTTTCCCAGAAGTCCGTGAGGTCAGAGGGAGGTTTTTATTCGCCTGCCAAGTGTGCTTGAACACAGTCAACCCAGATTTCCACCCGTGTGTGGAGAAGTGAGCGACTCCCTGACATCCACACAATGTGGACAGGACACTGAGCCTCACTCACCTCCTCCATTGTGTGTCCCATAGGAGGTGATCAGGGGTAAAGTGCACTCGGGAGGGCACAAGTTTCTTTGAGCAAGACCATTGAAAGCCCACTGAGAGGTCTTTGGACATCCCTTTCTTTCCCAAACCCTGATGATATTGCCTGGGCCATTCTGGGAAGTTTGCCCATGACACAGAATAGATGTCACTGTCGCACTCTATGAACTTTGGCCAGGCCACTTTCATCTCCAGGTAACACTGGCCTGACCAGGAGTCAAGGTTTTCATGAATCAACTATGAGTATAATGTGGCTGGCCCTCAGGAGTTACTGATTGAAAGACGACAGCATGCAAATAAAAATTGGCTTGTTTGGAGGCACAGATACCGAAAAAACGCTTTCCAAATCACCAACTGGCTTTGTCAACAAAAATCTGTATTCTATTCCTTTACTCTCCAGGGTAAACAATAAATCCTCTTGTATTCTTCTAAGTTTGCAACATCAAAAAATCTAGGATTCTCATTACAGATAGGTGTTCTAGAATGTCAAATAACTTTTTCTGTGCCAACTGACATAGTCAAATGTTTTTTTTCTTCTTTTTAATGTGAAGATGATGAATTACAGATTGATTTTTTCAAATGTTAAATTGATCCTGCATTTCCAGTACAAACTGCTTATAGTCATGATATATTATCTTTTTCATAAATTAGGAATAAGAGAACTTTCTCAACCTGATAAAAGGCATCTGGAGAATTTGCAGCTCACATTAATACTCAAGCATGAAGACTGAATATCATATCTCCTAAGTTCTGGAGCAAAGTAGTGGTATCCATTCCTATCATTTGTATTCAGCACTGAATCTGAGGTCTCAGTCAGTGCAGTAAGGGGGTTGAGGAGGGGCGGAGCATACAAGTTGGAAAAAAAAGAAGCAAAACTGCTTCTATTTTCATCCTAAGGAACTTATAGAATAAAAGAACTACATGGCAGGCTTAGTAAGATTATATTAGTAGTTGATATAGAAAACTAATGGCATTTTATGTATTATTTTATACATTAGGCAACCATTTAAATTTATAAAACAATGCTTTTTCTAATATCAAAAATCTGAAATATTTAGAAATTTAATAAAGTATTTGCAAGGCATTATGAAAACTGTAAAATATTAAGAGAATTAATGAAGGCCTTAAATAAACTGAGATATATACCATGTTCTTTGATTATTAAGAAACTAGTTTTCCTCATATCTATAGATTGAATGCACTTCCAATAAAAATCTAGCAATCTTTCTTATTAAAAAAATCTAGGATTTATTGCTTGAGAATTACCCACTTATGACTATTAAAGCAACATAACTTTCGTAGTGACTACCCTAGTGATTATCATCATCAGGAGGCTGATATAGCTCTGTATTGACTCAAGTTTGTACTGTTGTGTCAGTTAGCTCTCCATCACTATAATAAAATAACTGAGGCAGTTGATTTATGGAGAGAAAAAGGTTATTACA